TACGCACTTGCGCGCATTCGCCTGTGCATTTTCTTAATGAGGCAAGCTAGCGAAAAACCACATAGAAAAGAAGTGGTTCCTTATATAACAACTTCTAATATATCGAAAAACCCATTAACTTTTGGTTATAATGCATTCCAACAATGGTTTTTATGTTATGTTGCTTAGCTATAAAGTATAACCTTATGTTGTCGCTAATCTATGAGTTGAAAGTATAAAATGAAATGTATAGACTGTATATAAAATTGAAAAAAATATTTGTTGATTTCTTAACTTAGAGTCTCCATTGATTAAAGCGGTTTATTTTTTGTTAAAAACGTTGGTGATATAGCAAAAAAATAGCTTAATTCAGAAACGATTTAAGATTAAAATTGCATAGGGCAATAACTGAAAGTTGTTGGTCTCAACCTGCAAAGCCCATTGCTTTTCTCATGGCCAGCTTTATGTTAGGTGCTCCAGGATTGATGTTTGTAAAAACCTTTTCATCTTGGCAGCAGATGGGAAAACAACCAATATATATCAACCTAATAACTCGAGCGCATCTTTCTGATGAGACAAGCTGGCGAAAAATCACATAGAAAAGAAGTGGTTCCTTATATTACAAAAGTGGACCCTAAGGGTGTACACCTGGGTATTATTACTTATCTTATTCACGTGCGTGTGCAAATGCGCATCATTTTAGCTGGCGAAAAACCATTGGCACAATCATGGCACAATATTAGCTAAAATATCTAATTAAAAATTACATGAAACGTTTTTCTTTTTCCGTGAATGTTGATCATGTATTTCATTCATTATTCTATCAGACATATATTGAACGATAACATTAAATTCATATATAATTACATTTTATGGCTGTTTAATGAGAAGATTCAAAGTTTAGGTGATGTTAATTTTTAACCGACATCATATAAAACAACTGCATAAATTATGTAAAAACTTACCAAGAAACAAATTTAAAGAATAGAAAAAGAGTTTAAAACACAATTCATAAACATACAATATACTGAAATAAAAGGTGTTATACACAAAAAGATGTTATCAAATATTTAAATTATTTAATATATAGATATAACCGAAACATCAATAAGATTTACCTGTGGATACGAATAAGAAAACATTAGAATATTAGACATCTATTTACAATTTAAATTATCAATATCAGACAGTTTTTCCTCCTTTATTAATATTTTCTACCGGTTTCATGACTTCCAAGGTCACTCTTCAGGAAATAGTTTTACTGAGAATCTTGGTATTTGTATGTTTTTTGTTATGCTTTTCAACTAAACATAAATAATCTAAATTAAATACATATACTTTCCAACCGTACAAATATATAATACATTCCACGTCGGGCCCAGGTGGTTAGGGCACTCGAATCGCAATTTGCGGGTCGAGGGTTCGAATCCCTGTTCCACCAAAAATGCTCGCCCTTTCAGCCGTGGGGGCGTTATAATATGACGGCCAATCCCACTATTCGTTGGTAAAAAAGAGTTGCCCAAGAGTTGGCGGTGGGTGGGGATGACTAGTTGCCTTCCCCCCTAGTCCTACCAACATTAAACCTTCAGGTAATGCGGTTTGTAAGAGGTTTATAAAGAAAGAGTATAAACAGCTAAAAAAACGGGATTTAAAATCACAAATCTTCACCATCATTAGCGTGTCATCATTTGGTGCATTGGACAACCGGAAAGCTAATGTTATTGTTAAAGGAAAAATGATAACAATAATAATGACTTTCAAACAGAAGCTGTGAGGAAAATAAAAACACGCCGAACATGGACTGGACTTCAGATTACCATGAACCTAAAAAAAACAAAACAAGGATTATAAAAACTTTGTTGGCTACAGCTCAGGTTATTTGCAGTTTAGAAAAAAGGTCGAATGAATGAATAAATTATTTAGAAATTGCTTTGGTGAAAAGTAATGCCTTTCCCACTGAAGGTATAAAAAAATTACTAAAAGGTTTCTGAACAAAATAATATGATGAGATTATTGTGCCATTCCATTTGAACCTTGTCTGTTAGATGTGGTGAAAAGAATGTAGCAGATGAATCTTGTCTGTCAGATGCAGTGAAAAGAATGTAGCAGGTGAACTTTGTCTGTAAGATGCGGTGAAAAGAATATAGCAGGTGAACCTTGTCTGTCAGATGTGGTGAAAAGAATGTAGCAGGTGAATCTTGTCTGTCAGATGCGGTGAAAATAATGTAGCAGATGAATCTTGTCTGTCAGATGCAGTGAAAAGAATGTAGCAGGTGAACATTGTCTGTCAGATGTGGTGAAAAGAATGTAGCAGGTGAACCTTGTCTGTCAGATGCGGTGAAAAGAATGTAGCAGGTGAACCTTGTCTGTCAGATGTGGTGAAAAGAATGTAGCAGGTGAATTTTGTCTGTCAGATGCGGTGAAAAGAATGTAGCAGGAAGTACAAAAAGTGAATAAACTTTCAATTTTGAGGAATTTTATTTATCAATTTTATCAGGAAGTGGTTAGTTTCAGTGTAGAATATATGGATTATAATAGTCTTCACATAAGACGAGATTGAGCGGAATTTAAGAAGTTGGTCGGGTTTATTAGCGTGTCTATCAGAATTTTTGTCCCCCCCCCTCCCATCAGTGGCACAGCGGTATGTCTGC